AGGCGCTTCGAGAGTCGGCCGACAAGTGCGCCGAGTTGGCCATCCTCTACAAGTCGGTGCCGGAGTTGCGTAAACTGACCCGCTTGCTCGACAAGTTTGAGCGACTCTTCGCCATCTTGCCGCAGAACCTGCGTCACGTGATGGATCAACTGCTCGACTTTGAGCTGATCGCGGAGAACTGCACCGGCCGGCCGAGCCGAGGGCAACCGGAGGCAGGCCGACGCAGTCATTCGCGTCAGCTGCTCATTTTGCGCCAGAACGAGGAGATTGTGGCGCATCTGCTGCCGCGCATGCATCGGCACCAACTGGCGGCGCAAGAGTTGGGCCACGTGCTGCATCGGATGGAGGAGAAGTTGCAGGTCTACTCAAAAGCGCTCTACCAACTGGCCGCCTGGCATCTCCTCCTCGAGCCGGCCGTCACCGCCGGCCTCTCCGAGACCTCGGGCCGTGAAAGTCTCGCCGAGCCGATGCTACGCGACCACGAGGCCGACTCAGCGGCATCCAAAGACGCCGGTTCGGGCAAGACGGCCTAAACCGCTGGCCGTTGTCAAGTCTTTCGCTCGCTCCCCCCTCCAACACGCGGAACTCTGACGGTACTGCCTCCTCTAAAATCCAGTTAAGGCACACCACCGACTAAGCCTTACGCATTCATATATTACCCGTGTGCATTCTATTGCGTCTATATGCCTATCATTCCCTCCCACCCTATGCATATATATATATACATGCATATGTATACGCGTGTGTGTGCGTGGTGGAGCGTTGAATTGCGAGTTTTTTTGTTAAGTTATTACCACATAACATAACAGTTGGCATGGCTGAGGCGCCCTATTCTGCCTTAACGAATCGCCCAAAGCCGATAGGTGTATGACTCGGCAAAGACTTGTAAAGAAGTTTACTGACATTTTTCTGCTCCATACCGTCATGGTTTCGACTAGCAACAGCCAAATTGAACATTCTGCAACCTGTAAAGGCAGCATGGTATATGAAGCCGCCGGAAATCCTACCTATTCTGCGGCTATCTGCCAAAATTAAAGTTGAAAATATTATATTTTTGTTTTGACCCCTCTGGGTTACTAAAAGGGCATGCCGGTTTGACGGTGTCGACTGTGTTTTGGTTTTATTCGAAGAGGTGAATGGAGGGGG